GTGATAATGTGACCAAGACAAGACAAGTCAAGAATTCAAAATTCAGGTAGAGGAGACGTTGATTTCTCTATATACAAAGTTCTTTTGTAACCTCAATGAATAGGCATATTGCAATTGCAATTAAGGTAGGCTAAACTAGATAATACTGTGCTTTTTTTGTTTGGTTTATTGTGAATGAAATGCATGTAAACAATCTTATCAAAATCTTAACATAAACAATCTATAGGATAGGCATTCGCGGTAGGGGGCTTCAAATCATAACTAACATAATTACAATATCAAATAATTAAACCCAAGAGATGTGAGCTAAAGATATAAAAGGGTGCAGGTACAATTAAAATATTTCATAATGACGACCTTTGAGTAACAAAACACAATGCTAAGCGCGTGTCCTTGGCTAGAAATAAATTACACTGTAGGTAGTTCAACTTGTAATAATACTATGAGTAGGTATTGGCTGAACACAAGCTGAAGCGGAAGCGATAGCGTTATAAGTTTAAAGTATGTATGAAATACCATAAATTGTCATGTCAAATTAATGACTTTAACTTGCAAATAGAGTAACAATAGCTGAGCTGTTGAGCTATCAACTCTTAAGACAGGTAAGGGCATTGATACTTCAATTTATTACAATACCATGACATGGCATGTTAAAGTAATAAAATGTTTAAGTAATTTTAAATTGAAATATTAGAAGACTTGACTTAGGTATAGTTAACTCTTTTTAACCAGCTCAGCAGGTTACAAAATTCATAAAATATTGTTCAGCTACATCATACCATTCCACGCACAAAAGAATAAATTTTTCATGAAATTTAAAAACGCTTACGGCTGTATATCGCCGTACATTCGGTGATCTAATAGTTTTCTCGATCAATTACCTAAACATTTTTATTTCCACCGTTGAGCGTTGACATTTAAGAATCAGATCATTTTTTCCAGCCATAAAGGTTGATTTACGTTGAATTTATTTCCTGGGCAATTAACTTCTAAATTGGATTACTTTGTGGCTTTATTTCAAGCCTATTATGATTCGCGATACAACAGGTTACTCGCTAAAATAAAGTATTACGTGTGTTACGAGGTGGGCGAATAAAACATGCGACTATCGAAATAAAATAAAATTGATAGCTCGTACTTTGAGCTGATCTTATCGCTTCTATTTAATTTTTAGTCCTATTTAAATGTTATAATTAAACCACAAATGACATACTGAATGCATTTATTTGTTCACAAATATAGTTAAATCTATTTATCCATACTTATTCAACGGTCGCCCCAACTTGGCGGCGCACTGTGGCAGACGAGGCGAAGAAGATCGGCAAGACTTGGAGCGAAATCAAACGCAAAGCTCAAGACCGAACGCGATGGAGGACTGTTGTGGACGCCCTTTGCCTCATCTAGGGGACATAGGGCCTTAAGTCATACTTATTTAGCCCTTATAAAATTACTAGCGGCCGCTATCCACTTCGTATGCGTGGAAACTTTCAACCCCCGTTTACCCCCTTAGGGGTGAAGTTTTTTAAAATATGTTCTTGGCGGATGTTTAGGTACACCCTATATGGAACCTACCAGCCAAATTCCAAGATTGTAAGTGTTATAGTTTCTAAGATTTCGTGATTAATCACTGATTAATAAAATCAGTGAGTGGTATTTCGCTTTTATTTAAATTTTAAATAGATTACACGGCTATTATCTCAGTTACGAATAAGTCCGATTTTTTGCTTTAGTCTGTGATATTTGTTTCAAACGATTGATTGACTAATGTTTTTGTTTTATCTTTATCTTTTACCGTGAACTTTAAGAAGTACCTGTGGTCTTTTTTGTTTTAAGTTGTAGTCAATGACTAGTTCAAGGTCAATTTGTTTTAGTTTAGCCTTAACAATGACATTATCATGGTTGCCGTGTCGCAAATAGTACAAAGTGACAAATAAAGAAACATTTTATAAGTAAAACTCAGTAAAACTCATTTATTTCTGTAAGTAGGCTTTAAAAAAGCACTTTTACACAGTCAGCACTTTTTTACAGTCTTGTGCTTAACTCTGTCAGTGTCTAAGTTATGAAAGCGGCACGGGAAGAGTGACATTGATAAATTATGACGTGACATAGCATACAAATCTGAAGTACAATACGCCCGTATTCACAAACATTACTATGAGGTCTCACAGTGCCCACGGACGCACAGGGTCATACACGAACCGACCACAGAGCTCTATTCAAAGATGTGCGTTCGATTTTTTTCCTCACTTAAGCTAGCATCGTTTGTGAATACGGGTGTTAGGCCCAGAACAGACGGTGAAACGCAACTGCAACTGCTAGTTACTTTTGAGTTCCATCTAAGTTTCTGCCATAGCGTCCGTTGAGAGACCACACATAACGCGACCAGTTTGAAACTTTCAGTTTCAGTTTCATTCATCAGAATCTTCAAAAGTTGCAGTTGCGTTTCACCGTCTGTTCTGGGCCTTAGTCTCGTAATTTTTTTTATTGTCAAAATAAAGTTATTTTCTTTCTTTCTCGTTGACATTTGACGTTCCAAAAACACCCCCCGTGTCGCTTCCATACCTCAGGCACTGACTAAATATATTTTAAATCATTTTCCCACGGACATTTCTCAGTCAAAACAAGTTGTTTGTACCAACTTTAATCTAATAAACAAAGAGCAGAGGTTAATTCCAAAAGTAATGCCATGTCATAAATGTTAGACAGAGAGGCACAATCAATCACCGACTGATTGACGATTATGTAAGTTTAATATGATATCACATTAGTAAGTCATAGTAAGTGAAACATCTGTGGAGTTATAATTAGCCACTCAAAAAATAGGTCAGCGACAACTCATAAGCGGTAGCGTTTTTTAAAAGAAAACTTTGAATAATGTAAAAAATCGCTCACAATTCAAGATAATTCATCATTTTCACGCAATGTGTCTTTTGGGAGGCCTTTGTACAGCAGTAAACGTCATTAATTGACTGAAATTAACAAACGATCGAACGAACCCAAAATGTAGAGCTTTTGTAATCCTCAAAAAATTAGGCTGAGTTGCACTACCTTATTTAACCATGACTATAACCATAACCGGTGTTACTAATACTAATAATAAATAATTTAGTTACTAATAATAAATAACTTATTTCAGACTTTCATCCATAGTTTATGTTATGATACGATATTTTCAAACAAAAATCTGCAATTAGCTCATATCTGGTAGTCTACAAATCAGAAAAAAGTGTTTGATTATTTTCATTAAACACTGAAAAGCACTTTAAGACAAGTAGTTATGTTGTTAGGTATGTATTTTATTTCGATGCCAAGATCAGGAGCTTTTTCTTCTAATGTTAATAATAAACATACAATAATCCAACTGAGCGCTTACGATTAATAAAATGGAATAGGTAAGTAACTACAGTAAAAATGTATGATTCGTTCTCGCCTCTACCTTGGGCCGCATTATGCAATAGCTCTCGAAATAAAAGTTGTCAGATTTCGGCGCCCGCGGCCTCGCTGCAAGCGATGCTCTGAGATCAAGTTCATTGCCACGGCCGATCGTTAGCTCGAGCAGATGAGCTCACTTGCGCAACTTTGACGCGCATTGTTGCATGAAACCATCCTTTTGCTCGTTTTAATTGTGTAATACTAATGTGCTTAATGAACTTTGGAAATTGTTGTTTTATCTGGAATGGTTAAGAGATATCTAACCATGATTAAGGAAGCGTCATGGTTATGCGGTATGTTAGACATTTGTAATCAAGATGGCTCGATAAATGAAGACATTAAAGTACCGTGTGAATCATTGTAAAACTCAGATGAGAAATCTTACTTAGATTTTTTCTAATCGGTCTAGAATTTGATAAATTCGCTCTTTGTTGAAACTAACGTAGAGTGAGCTAATTCCTTCTGCCAAAAAGTAAAGATAAGACCACATCGTTGGGGTCGACGTGATATTGGCAAGAACAGCATGGAGTCCAGAAAAAATGAGTCACTGAAAATGATTTATTGCTAATAATGGAAAACAAAAGACAAGCTTACCCTCAGCCAGAAACTTTTCATGAATGATTCTTAAAGTAAGTACCTATTCCATCAGTTGTTACTTTAGACATAAATTCAAACACAGTAGCAAAATAAGCCTTGTTACTAAGCAAATAAACTAATTAATCTAACCAAAAAGGTATCGGTTTGTAGTAAACTTAAACGCTCCAATTCCGGCGAAACCCAATAGTTATTGCACATCTGGGATCGATTTTCAATTTATTTTGCATATAAATTGCGGGGAAACAGAAGCAGGATCATACCTCACAGGCAAGTCGAGAATATCAACACTTCAACATGTTTCAAAAGGTATTTTACTTAAGTAGTTAATTTATTATTTGTAACAAGTATTGTTCGGTTTTTAAAGAAAGAAAGAAAAAAAATTAATTTGGTACCAAAAAAGTACAAAATCAACGTAAAGAGCAAAATACGTCGTACCAAATTGGTCTCTACTTAGTATGAGGTCATAATTATGAGGTATTTTTAAGTCTTTTATTAAAACAATTATCATTTGCATCATCATCGGGGGTTACTCTATTCAATTGACAACGATTTGATACATTTTACTCCATTACCATATACGGTGAAAGTTCAGAATAGTTTCTTTGAGAACCTGTCATCTTTTTTTGAAACACCCATGAAAGATTTTGGCGCTAAATAATAATTTTATCAATGCCAAGGGTCGGTATTTTATTAAACTTAACTATCAAACAAATGAAATCACTTCTAATTTAAACCAATTAATTAAAACATAACGTTGACATTAAAAATAATGCTACAATTATTCTAATTTTAATATTAGAATTCCAAGGGCGATGAAACTAGAACTATTTGATTGTAAATACAAATGCCTATCATACTTCATCTAGATAAGCAAAGGTCGAATAACTTCATTTGACCAAAATATTCTACTAATGCATAACTAAGCTGCCTATAAAGTGAACGAATATGTAAATGAAATTGACTGATTGATCCATTTTGTATTACAGCTCGCCGTCCTGTCTTACCTCATCATCTCTACCACGTGCACAGTTCTACACCAAGCTCCGCTACCGATATATTTGGACCTCCAATACCATGAGACACCATCTGTCCCGAACTACAACTTCGCGTACGAAGTGAACGATCCCCACACTGGTGACATCAAGAACCAGCACGAAAGCAGACGTGGAGACATAGTCCAAGGACAGTACTCGTTGGTTCAACCTGATGGCGTCAGAAGGACAGTGGACTACCGAGCTGATGAGCACACAGGGTTCCACGCTACAGTCAACAACGAAGGCAGGCCTCTTGCCCACCCGACCCTGGAAACCGCACCTCAAGAAGAAGCACCTAGGCAACCCAATCTAGCTCTCCACATCAGCTACCCATGGCCGACCCCTGCTGTGTCCACCACCAGCCCTGCTCCAGTAGCCATTTCTAGGACATCCTTTCAACAGACCATTTCCAACGTGCACCCAAATAATCCTTGGCTGTGAATTCCATGAAATCAATGAAGCGTAAATTTAAAAGGCGACGACAACGGACACCGATGAAATTGAATACCTTGCTTATTCCTTACCGTCTCAATGTCGACACTTTCGTAGCTATCAAACAAAGAGTTTATTAGTGTAGTTGAAAACGTTTGTCGATGAATGGAATGGTAATGAGTATAATTGGTGACCGGACCGGTTAACCTTCGAGTACCCGGCGAGGGAAATTGCCCTATAACGCCAGTTCTATGCGCTAACCTTTGTAATCCTTTAAACATTTATGTTGCATAATAAAATATTCGCAATGTCCTTTTGTGTTTCGTTCCCAGACGTGATACGTACTAATTCCTGGCATACCCTTTTGTAATTAGTCTCATTCGTGAAATTCCACAAGCTGTGGTAATTGCAGTGTGAATAACTGAACACGTAGCTCTAGGGAAAAATGAGATTGTTTTAACTCATAATAATTATGAGCTGTAGAACAAAAGAAACATTACAGTTGAATGTATATGTTTAAACTTAATTAAATACTGTCGACAGCATAATCAGACTACAAGTAAGATACTTTTGGAAAAACCTCATAATAAAAATAGCAAATAGCGAGGCCTATGTTCAGCAGTGAACGTCCTGTGACTGAGGTGATATCGACGATTACAAAAAATTCGAGTGTTTAGCTAGTTGTGTTATCGTCATACAATTAAAAGCATTAAGGTAAACGTATTACACATAACACGTGCTGGGTACGTGCAGAAAAACTTGTCTTACAAGCCTAAAACATAAAAATATTGTAGTACTCTACTTTGGAAATAAACAACAAAACAATTAAACTTCAATAACCAAAATAATATTTATAAGGCTGGCTTTTTTTTTCAATGTTATTTAATACATTTTACTTTATTTGGTATCAATAATATGTGGAAACTTTTGAGATAAAGGTACATATTTAGATGCTATTGAGTTTTTAATTCAAGGTTATGTTGTTAAGTATACTTAAACTGACCTAGTTAGACACTAGGTCGCCTTCCAACCATAATAATTGAAATCTTAAAGAATGCAAAACACTAACTTGATTTTTAATTATTTACATGGTTAACTCAGGGTACATTGACTAAATTAAAATAATTATGATCACAATCTCAAATACCATAACGTTATTATAGATTTATGGTTTTCTGGTGAGACACATAGAATTAATTAAACCTACACAAGAATACCGTTTTCGTTCAATGCATCGAAAAGATTAAAATTTCTTTTAGTTACTAATTACCTTGGTATACCTTCAAGTAACGCTGTCAACCTAGGAATTACAAAAACCAACACTTGAATTTTATGAAACCATAAATTAAAATGCGGTCGTTTTTTAGTACTTCATTTACAATTGTGATCAATGGTGACACGAAACAACATACTCACAGTCCATATTGATATAAATAACCTGCAGCTTTCGGTGCATCGCCCTGTCGGTCTTGACTTTTAGTTATTTCCTGAATTTCTTCGCAAACAAACGAGTTAAAGTAGAACTGGAACGATTTCAAGATGTATAAAAGGATAATGCAGTTCAGAGCAAAGTATCAGATCCAAGTATCTTCCGACGTAGTCACATCACCCAATTTAATTCTTCAAAATGGTTGTGAAGGTAAATATTCTATAGTTTTCTAATCAATCTATCCTTAGAAATTTGATCATTATTAAAGGTTTCATTTATACCTAGTTCATCATTTGCTTGCAATACTGTTATTTACTCAAAAGTAGCTAAAGTTAGTACTATGGTTTCGGCATAGTAGGATAGAGACCCCTCTTCTTGTACATGGAAAGGTGACTAAAGGAATAATGCGCCAACATTAGGCTTCTCCAACATAATAATCCTGCCTAGCATGATGACTTGACCTTCATTGGTTGGGTTTTTGTGGCGGTCAAGCTGTAGATCCTGGCTACACAGGAGTTGCAGTGGTGGGAACGAGAGGTGGGAATAGTCCCGTTAGCATGAGGACTTGGAGAGTTTAGGCAAAATCCCCCATTTGCCTCTGGAGAGGGTCATGCTCCTTCGTGTAAATAAACCATCCTGTTCTCCTTCCAGTTCGTCGTAATCCTCGCTCTGGCGGTAGCTGCCAACGCCAGCAACTTCAACAGCTTCGCGTACGACGTGGCCGACCCGTTCACCGGCGACTTCAAGAGCCAGGCGGAGACGCGCGTCGGCGACCGCGTGCGCGGCCAGTACTCGCTGCTGGAGTCCGACGGCACCAAGCGTACGGTGGACTACGCCGCCGGAGCAGAGGGCTTCAACGCGCAGGTCCGCAAAGACCCTGCCTTCATCGCTGCCCCTGCCGTCTACTCAGCCGCCCCTGCCGTCTACTCCGCCGCCCCTGCCGTCTACTCGGCCGCCCCTAGCGTCTACTCCGCTGCCCCTGCCGTCTACTCTGCCGGCTTCGGCTACCCAGCGCTCCCCTACGCCAAGTTCGCCCCCTACGCCTACGCCAAGTACTTCTGAACACCGTTACCTGCTCCTATTGATAATAAAACTCTATGTTGTAAATATATTGGTTCTGTAAATAAAAGTTTATGAACATTCGATACTATTTCTTGTTTTAATTCAATCACAAGGAAATTCATTCATCTCAACCAAAAGACGTCCCCTGCTGGACAAAAATGTGCGCTCTAAATTTCCGGAACGACTGATTCTCCCATTAAGATACTTCCCACAACCTTTACCAAATTATAGAGAATCAAAGTACTATGACCAAATTGTCAGTCAAACATTGCTTTATTATTACAACACACACCATAGTATCTTGTATTCAATGAATCTTTTCATGTTACAAAAAGATGGCAAAGTGTAGTCAGTAAGATAAGTTAAAAACAAAACACTGCAATTGAAGTATTACTGATTCACCTAATTTTAAATTCTAATCGCACAATTAACACAAAAATATTAACGAATTTGGCAAACGATGTTGTAAGCATTATCTAATATCTCAAGGATCAACCGCAGCATTGAAGGCGGGGTATTCCAATATGGGCTTTATAAGTGATTGTTCCTTTGTTCGTGTTTATTAAAAATAATAATAAACGCGAGCGGTGGTCAGCATGGTCGAGTTCCGCGTTACTGATTTACTGACGAAATTGAAGCCGACGAAAAAAACGCTATGTGACCTAGAGAATAGTGCTGTCTTTTACTTCCTATTGTTGGCACGAAATGAATGTTCAGGACTCGTATAAAAGAACGTCCAGGGCAGGGATTAACCATTCGCAGTTCACTGTGCAACCAAAACAAACGTATCGAAATGGCAGCTAAGGTAAATGTTCCTTGCGGTCAGTGTAACTTTAGTGCTGCGGTGAAGTGGTGAATGTGAGACAATACCAATCGGACTATTAATAGCCTCAGTGATATTGATATCCAAAGTTTATCATTTGGGATATCAATTATTTGCAACAAATCAGTGCATCGAAAAATTTCCAATTGGCCTAGATAGGAATGAATCACCAAATAAAAAACTGATTTTCTTTGATTGGGAAGAAAGGGATAAAATATTAATTAATTNCGTACGAGTAGCTGGTGTAGTCGGCGCCGTGGATCGCGCTGCCGTGAGCGGCCGCCACCAGGAGAGCAACAACGACGAACTGGAAACAGGATTAGTCTTAATACAAGTCAGGGACTGATGTAAGTTTTAAATGTTTAGACAAAAAAAATTACAATTCACTAAATTCGCTAAAATTGTTCACGACAAAATCGACTATAAATATGTTTAGAAAATTTTTAAATAGCTTTCTATGTCTATCTAATATCTGTATTCATTTATGTTGTTACATTATCAATAAACTACCTTAGCTGCCATTTTGGTACGTTTGTTTTGTTTACACAGTGGACTGCGAATGCTTAACTGTCGTGCAACGCCGTTCTTTTATATGAATGTAGACTTACTCCAAAGGAAACGACAACACTATTTCTATACGCTCTCTCTAGGTCATGCGCGTTGAATTTTTGTCAAGTGCAATTTCACCAATCACTTAGGTATTGCAATGACAATTATTTGATAGATTAAACGAACTATAAAGCTTAATTAATGTAAAAGGTATTTAAGTAAATTAACTTTCACATTACAAAATGCAATCAAAACATTACTTTACAAAACATTAACTAACAAAACGTACTAGGTTCTTTACCTATTGGAAAGCTTAAACTCCTTATTTATCTTTACGTGAATCTTAGTAGCGACAAAGACAGTCATAGTCGTCATAATCGTTAGTATGTATTGTTATACAGTCACAGGCAGAAAATTGTACTAAACCTAATAATTTAATTCCGCTGTATCTATTAAGGAATAAATTCTAAGGAAAATGTTATGTCCAATTATTTTTTTTATTTTTTTATTTTTACCTGCAATTGTAAAAATCTAGCATCCTAAATGCAAAAATAGTTTTTGGCTGGTTGACGAGGAATAAATTTTACAATACTACCTAACCAACCATGATAAGTCCCTGCTCTGATAGTGATGGCATCATGGAATCCCAGAAAATATCACCGCCTTGGATTCGAGGACAATAACTTATGAAGGCGACTAATACCAAATATGGCACAATGTAACTGGGAAACTTACCTACTTACTAATACTAATGCCCGTATTCACAAACGATGCTTGATTAAGTGAAGCAGCGAATCGAACGCACAACGTTGAATAGAGCTCTGTTATTGGTTCGTGCGTTACCCTGTGCGTCCACGCGCACTGTGAGATCTCATAGTACTTTTTTTTTTGTGAATACGGGCGTAAGCGTCATTGTTAGGTCCATATAACTTTTTTATACAATTTACAAAGTGAACAACCACAAAACACTTTCACACAATATAATTGATTCAAGACATAATTTGTTTTACGGAACAAGGAAGTTTTCATATTTTTCTGTTTTTTTAAAATCGAAAAACATCGGTCTCTTTCTTGTCAATAACGATACAAATAACAATAAATAACGCGTAGGAAGTGACAATTACCGTTTTATTAGGTAATTTGTTGTGTTAGGATCAATTTAAGTTAATTAATGGTCAATAATCCTAAGGAGAGAGGCCTTCACCGTTGAAGGTAAATGTAAAGGGCGAGCTGTATTACCTATAGTTAATGGGGATTTTCCTAACGCAAGTTAGATGGGTTTAATCGCCTAAGACTTTGAATAGGTATTTGTCACTTTACTATCTGAATATCAGCGATTCATTTAGTATAATGGGAGACGGAGTATGTGACTGCGCCAGACAATCTGCCAACAGAGGGCTTTTTTTTTTCTTTTTTCGTCAGGAAATGCATGAAATTGCATACCCACACGGCCCGGGAGAACCAGTGGGTTATGTAAGGCTCACCCTGCCAGATGGGCAGGGTCTACTCACTAAAACCTGACGGTGTCGTTGAAGTCTTTGGGACGGTGCTGCGAGTTATTGTCCGAGCTAGACGGCCTAGACATTCTTTCGCGGCTCCGCCCCAGACTGTGGCTCGCTCTGTTTGAGCAAGCGACGACTGGCTTCAGGGGAGTAGTACCTCCCCTGATCTTCGCTAACGGTGCGCGTGAACACATGCGCGCGCCGCCGCCACGGGTCCGCCAACAGAGGGCCTAGTGTAAGTTTACATAAAAACAACGCCCCTAGCGAGAAACGTTCAAAAACTAAAATGTTTATACATTTTTTTAGGGTTTTTGGGCTGAGTGAGTAATTGTTAGAGAATTAGTTCACACTACGCCCTCTGTTGGCAGACTGTCTGTCGCAGTCACATACTCCGTCTCCCATTACAATAAATGCATCGCTGATATTCAGATAGTAAAGTGACAAAACAAATACAGAGAAAGATGGTGGGAGATCGTGCGGAGAGTTGTATCCGCCTCTACAACAGATGTGAACAACGCCTCAACGTGACCACGACCGCTCTGCCAAGAATGAAATGAATAAGAAGTGCAGACTTAAATGAATATTATTTATAAACTAGCGGCCGCCTGCGAATTCGTACGCGTGGATACCGTTTTACCCCCTTCATCTATCTTACGCGGTTTAGATTTTTTCATACAAAAGGATTTTCCCGCTAATTCCCGTTCCCGTGGGAATTTCGGGAATCCTTGTTGTAACTAAGCTTTAAGTTTACTTAGGTACCTACATGCCTAATTTCAAGCGTCTAACTAAAGCGATTTAGATTTTTCATACAAAAGAATTTTCCTGTTGCCCTGGGGAAATCTTAAGTACCTATACTATAACCTGCCCAGGAGTATGAAGAATAATTGTTCCAAGTTTCGTTAAAATCCATCTAGTAAGTTTCTATAAAGAACATACAGACGGACAGACAGACAGGCAGGCAGACAGACAGACAGACAAAAATTTACTGATTGCATTTTTGGCATCAGTATCGATCACTAATCACCCCCTGATAGTTATTTTGAAAATATACTTCATGTACAGAATTGACCTCTCTACAGATTTATTATAAGTACAGATTTTAACGAATGGCATCCCAGTTGAAAAACATTTTTAAAATTGAGTCAACCGGCGACTCTAGATAAGATTACTGGGATCTAATAACATAGCTAATACTTAGCTACCAATAAGCCAACGCTTAGAAAAATGGGGTACAATTAAACTCCAATTAGTTCATAGCAAATCAATGATTTGCGTGTTCCATCGGTGAATAAACAACTTACTAAAACTCTATTATTACGTGTATTAGCTTGCCAGGAATATTCGTTCATACTTCAATAGGGCTATAAATATATTTAACTATAGTAACTCGTATACGAGTATAACTCACGTATATCGAGTTCGTGCTGAATGCTGCGGTTTGCAAGGATTAGAAATATTATATGGTACCTACATATACTTAAGACTGGTCACCCATACAAATAGCATCTACTTATCAAAGTAAATTCTAGCCTTAATCTAAAACACAATAGCTACCTATTCTACATTTAAAACACAAGAACTCTAATGATCTGACCCTCCCATGAATAGATTGCAAGCGCAGATTGCAATCTCTAGTCGTGGATATACTAATCCAGATGGAAATTTGACAGTAGAAGGACGGATTTGACCAAAAATTAAATATGGGAATCGGGCGTAAGTGCCGTTATTTTTTAAACGTTACCTACATAAGGTAGGTACTAATAGACCACTCATATTTGACCATAAAAACTAACAGCTATTTCTGATTTTTTAACCATCCGCGACCAAATTGTCGTAAATCATGAAACAACAAAAACATTTTTGAGACTAAACGTTACTTTTATTATCATGCAGTATTTAACCGTTAGAACTTTAGATTATCATAATTCCTTTGTTTTATTAGTCATAAAATTATCAAACGCATACCATTCAAATTGTATCCGGCGAAATTACGTTCGAACGAAACCCTCGCCGCGTGACCTAGAGCGCACCGCACTGTCTCTACTTCCTACAGCTGTATGAACCAAGTGCACAATCATATAAAAGAACGGCCAAATCAGGGATCAATCATTCGCAGTCTACTGTGCAACCAAAACAAACGTATCAAAATGGCAGCTAAGGTAATTGTCTTAAGTGGCCAGTGCAGTTATGGAGTGCATTTAATAATGCAAGCTCGAATTGCATTAATAGTTAATCATATTGAGGTCATGCAGTGTTCAGCTTAGACTATTAATCCAAATCTAAAAAAAGTGATACTGAAAACAAGTGAATGTGAGTTAAAAAAGTGATACTCTTCAAAAACTATATGCTCTATTTTTGTGTTTCCAGTTCGTCGTTGTTGCTCTCCTGGTGGCGGCCGCTCACGGCAGCGCGATCCACGGCGCCGACTACACCAGCTTCTCGTACGGCGTGTCCGACCCGCACACCGGCGACGTCAAGAGCCAGCACGAGACCCGCGTCGGCGACAGCGTCCGCGGCCAGTACTCGCTGCTGGAGTCCGACGGCACGAAGCGCACCGTAGACTACGCCGCTGACGCGCACAGCGGCTTCAACGCCGTCGTCCGCAAGGACCCCGCTCTGGTCGCGCACGCCGCCTACGCCGCGCCCGTGGCCCACGCCGCGTACGCCGCGCCCGTCGCCCACGCCGCTCCCGTCGCCTACGCCGCGCCCGTGGCTCACGCTCCCGTCGCGTACGCCGCGCACGCCGCCGCTCCCGTCGCCGTCTCTGCCTACTCCACCTCCCTCGCCCACGGCGCGCCCCTCGCCCACGCCGCGCCCCTCGCCTACGCCGCTCCCCTGGCGCACGGTGCCTACGGGCTCGCCGCTGGACACGGTGCCTACGGCATTGCCGCTGGTCATGGACTCTACGGCTCCCACCTCGGATATGCTGCCTACTAGATAATTTATTATGTACCTGAATAGATCATATTGACCTGTTAAGAACTACGCATGACTGTGATGTTATAAACCTTTTTGGTGACTCTAATTCAATGTTTTCTTTTCCAAGACCTATTGATATAAATGAACCTTTTATTAATGAAAGGTCATAAGAATACCTACTTAAATAATTTTCTTTAAAAATGAAATACTGAGAGGCAAATGCGTCTTCATACCAAGAGGCGCGAGCCAGCCTCGCAATGTTGATAGGTACGTGGCTTTATAATACAACAATTTACAAGAAAAAAACTACCTCGTTATCAGCAATTTGAGTAGGTAATAGATAAATAAACGCTGATATATTTTTTTACAAATTAACAAATCAAATTAAAATAATAATCAGCAAATCAATAACGAGATAATAATGCAATTAATAAATTCAGAAACATTTAAAACTGGATTTTCACGAAGTAAGTGTAAGCGTAGCAACAATTACTTAATTATAGGCAATGTTGTTTTTGATGAATTTGTTTGCTCTGGATTTTTTCAGTTTGCTATCATTCAGCGAATCGACTCAAAAAAATCAAAGAAAGTGAAGTTTATAATAATAAGTTAATGATAGAAGTAAAATTTGAAAAGTATTATTTAAATGATCTACTTAGTCTAAAATTGTACTATCAAAAAATCACTGTTTGACCACTACACTGGTTTAATCTGTATGACTACTGCACTCTTTTACAAATTTTTCAACGATTGGTACCTACTCCATGAGTGGTAAGAAATTTTCCAAGAAGTGTAAAATCAAAAAATAATAATAAATGCATAGAATTGAATTGTAAATTATTTTATTTTATTACAAAAAGAAAACACAGTCGTCGTTTCAAGTCGATAACAAATAAATAAATAGATAACTACCAGCGAGCACCTTGAGCGAGACCGTTGGGTGCAAGGGCGCCATGGGCTAGAGGTCCAGCCAATGGGCCATGACCCAAGGAACCAGCCAGAGGCCCTAAAGCACCATGATGTCCAAACGTGGCGTGGGGTCCGTACGCGCCGTACGCTCCAGGAGCACCATAGCCAGCTGCACCGAATGCGCCATAGCCAGCATGGCCAGGGTACGCTCCATGGGCCAAGGGACCGGCAAGTCCACCGTAAGCACCAGCAGCCAAGGGGTTAGCGAGAGCGCCAGCATATCCACGAGCATGGGCTCCGTAGGCCAACGGGTTTGCAGCTCCAAACGCGAGAGGGTTGGCGTGGGGTCCGTACGCAAGAGGGTTTGCAAGGCCTCCGTAAGCCAAAGGATTGGCGTGAGGACCATACGCTCCAGGGTGGGCTAGAGGAGATCCAGGAGCGTATCCAGCGGGTCCAGCTAAAGCGCGAGCACCGGGCTGCAAAGGGGACGGAGGATGGGTGGCGAGACCTTCCTTGCGGACGACAGCGTTGAATCCAGAGTGAGGGTCAGCGGTGTATTCCACAACACGCTTGGTACCATCGGATTCTAAGAGAGAGTATGTTCCGACGACGCTGCCGCCGACGCGTTTCTCATGCTGATCCTTCACGTCACCGGTGTTGGGATCTTTGACTCCGTATGAGAAACTGAAGTCATCACCAGCCCCGGCTCCTCCGTTGACGCCCCCGGCACTCGCAGCCGCCACTAATGCAGCAAGAACGATAAACTGTGGAAACAGAATCTAATTAGGTTTATGTACGTCTTAATTAACCAAAACTTAGCACTCACAATACACCTGCGGTAATGTTGCCAAGCGTTGCATGAAAATATTCGCGTGTTATATTACCTTTGCGGCCATTGTTGTGATGTTTCTTGTGCTCTTGCTCGGATCTGGCTTGAGAATGATTTAACCCCAAGATTTTGGATATTTATATTCACACGGATTGTAGTTTTGGGGGTCAAAAAACGAAATCATCTCTTGCACTACATGAATATTTTGTAACTTTACTCAGTTGTTTAGAATCATTAGGCTGAAAATGAGCCTAGGAACGGTTAATAGCCTCGTTAACATGTGTAATACAAAGCTCTACAATTAAAAGTATGCCTTATCTGGAGGTAATAAAGTGTTTGTAATTAATTGAAATGCATGGATGTATACAATGCTAATGGAGTTTCATTGAAAGTACTCTATATTGTGACTAATAAATCAAAATTGATTTTTGTGCGCAAAGCATATTTTGATTCAAATATTGACTCTATTCATAGCGCTATATTTTAACGCATGTTTTCATTATTATTAGATTTTCCGAAGATGATTGGTATATTTTTCACAACATAATTGTAATTATGCTTAATTCACGTGAAAGAAGTTACGGGCATCCGCTAGTATTCTTTCTAAAGTTTTGAACTACGAGTATCAGTCATTAAAACTACAACTTCTAGTTGCACAGGTCTTGAAATATATCTGGCAGACAAAGTCACTGATAATCAGCAACCATTTACTTGTTAGATAGAATCATACTCGTATGCAACTAACTATCGCATAGTTTGAAACGGGCTCTCCTTTAACTCGAACTCTCACTTTAAATTAGAATATGAGAGAGCCTTTGATTGAGTATTGAATAATAAAATATTAAGCATTAACTTTATCCGTGAAATACTTTAGTATAGAGAAAGGGCAATAACATTACCTGAGGTACACTCTACATTGGAGAGTATTTGATAATTATTTTTTTTATGCAAAACAAGACAGGTATTTCATCACAATCGCACCTGATGCTAGGTGGGATGCAGTCTAGGATGGTACATATCTGTTAATTATTATATTATTGAGCATTTTCTCCGTGGAATACTTTAGAAAAAGCAATAACATTATTTAAAATTTGCTCTACAGAGGCTAGCTTTATGCAATTACAATTTCGAGTCTAACTCACTAAACATTGAGCTCATTATCATAGATCATTTTAATTAATGTGTTAAGGATGAAGGCTTCCGCAAGTGAAGTTCGCGTTATCTTTCTAGTTTCCTGCAGTTCTTCAGTTGCATCATAATGTGTATCTTCAATTAGGCCAGTATATAAACACGGTACATAACAGTACATACATCAGTTGCAGTGTAAACAGCAAACAAAAAATGTTCTCAAAGGTAACTATTGTTTGATTACATCATCTTCAGTTTACGCGGTTAATTAGACCCTTCATTAGTTTTAATTTTATTGTGTGTCTTGGTTGTCCAATTAAAAAATATTTTTAAAAGTAAAGTGTGAACTTGTATCGAACACACAATATTTATCACAAACTAGCTGACCCGGCGAACGTTGTTCCGCCTTAATGGCATAAATAAGCAGACTTTTTTTTTAATTTCGAACGGGATAAAAAGTATCCTATGTCCTTCTCCTGGCTCTAAACTACCTCCCTGACAATTTTCAGCTAAATCGGTTCAGCCGTTCTTGAGTTATAAGTGGAGTAACTAACACGACTTTCTTTTATATATATACATAGAATACATTTTACATTGTGGTCAAATACCTGCCTTGTTATGCATAAAAAAAAATAAAAAAAAAGTTAATACGTTCAAAGGTACCTAGGTACCTAAATTAGTCTGAAAGTTTGTCACACACTAGAGAGAATATCATGTAATGTGTCCTCACACTAAGCTAAGTCCTCCATATGTCACAAATTCGCAAAACAATGAAGCAATGAAAAGTACCGTATCTAAACCACTAATTGATTCACAGATCGCATTGTTCTCTCTCCTCGCGGTAGCCGTGAGCGCTTCAAGCTCGGACTACTCAAGCTTCTCATACGGTGTCAACGACCCCCACACTGGTGACGTAAAAGACCAGCACGAGACCCGAGTCGGCAACCACGTGGTCGGCCAGTACTCGCTCCTGGAGTCCGATGGAACCAAACGCATTGTGGACTACCAAGCCGACCCTCATACTGGCTTCAACGCAGTCGTCCGTAAAGATGGATTGGCTCAACATCCCGCGTCATACGGTCGTGCTTTGGGCTACACGTCGCCTGTAGGCTACGCCGGCTATGGCGGCTACGGTGCCGGCTACAGCGGCTACGGTGCCGGCTACAACGGCTACGGCTCATCTCTCGCCTACAACCACGGCTACGGTGCCTCTCCTCTCGCGTACGAAGCCCAGTCTTACAACAACTACGCATCTCCCTTGGCACATGGTGCTTACGGTGGACTATCTGGCTACGCCTACGGCTCAAACATCGGCTACGGCGCCGGCTTGGGATGGTAAATAAATTGTCAAGACTGAATTTGGCTGAAGTTAATGGACAAACGAAAATTATTCTCCGTTTCTGTATATAACGTTATACTTTTCTTCTTGCGGTCTATTTTCTGCCTATTTTTACTACTCTATGAACTTGATTGCTTGTAATAACTTATGAATATCCTCATAACTTTGATCTTTTTCATTTTTTATTTGTGAATTCTCTTTTGGTACAATTGTAAATAAAACAAAATGTTCACATCGAAAAAGCATTTCATTTAACAAACGATCTAAAAATCAACAACGAATACTTCACAATAGTACGGATGGATTAACGCTTCAATCTCTATTGACGCAAATACAAAGTAGATGAAGTATTTATAACAAGACCATACAATTAAATGAGTCACAGCACTTACGTGCGTAGGAGCGGACGCCTACTGTTTGCTATAGCTAGTAATTTCGTTTGATAATGAATAGGTAGTGAATGACAAAGTTCAGAAAAACACTAGTTATCCACCAAAGTGGGTAAAGGCTGCACTTTTAAACGCACTACTCATCATCATCAACAGCCCTTTACAGTCCACTGCTGGACTATGAGCCTCCTCCACTATAGTGGAGGGTTTTACCATAATCTCCACGCTTGGCAGGCGGGTTGGAGATCGCAGTTTAAAAGATTGATGTTTTTCAGAGAGCGCTGCTGCCCATTCTCTGTTTGATGTGTAGTCCCTAAGTCGCCCGTAAGTAAAACGCACTACTCATTACGTGGTTACTTAAATTAGTACCTACCAAAATATACACCTTACCTACTAAAATTAGTTGTCTTAAGTATAGTTTTAAACAATCAGAATAGTAAGTATCACGAAATACGTCAAATGTTAAGTGGTACGAACTAGTTGTGACTTATTTTATTATAATGTAAACCAATTAAGCAATAAAGGTTAATTTTAATGTTTTAATTTATTGCTATAAATAGCATAAAATACTTGAAGCATCCAAAAAAACTAAATCAAATTATTTTACTTATTTGGCATAGTTCTAACTAATATTTAAAGCTAATCATGATTTAGAGCATAGATACGCTATTTAATTACAAACTTCCATTTTAATGAATAAATGAAATAATTTCCTGTCTGACCAGTTCTAAAGGCACAAAAAATGCGCAAACTATAACGAAACTGCGGTATATGGGGCAAATAAAATTATTTTAATACATAAGTAATAATTATTGTACTAAGATCCTCTAGCTGTAAAAAATATTCTGGGATCTTAAAATCGAAACAACTTCGTTTAAAAAAAGGTTAAGAATTCCTGAATTTCATCCAATATATTTTAGTAGTATTGATTGATTTAATGTTTTGAAAATGTGTAAACAAAAATGTAAGTATTGCAAGTTATAAGTAAAATAAAAGATGCCTAATATTGATTACAAATGCAAAAGTTACAACGACAATCTACCTACAATTTTAAAGTGACAATATTTCTGCAGCTGCAAATGCATCTATCAGCTGTAGATATATTCTTCGAATGCAAGAAAGTAAAATTCAAATTCAAAACCACTAACCATCATTTGCAGTTATTCAAGATCACCTTGAGGCTTGAATGTGGAGCAGTACGATGCATAACCCGATAAACATCTAGTTTTATGTAATTTATCTTCATGAATAGTATTTACTTTACTAGTTTGGTGAACTGCCAAAACATAATTTTTGTGGAACGACTACAAAGTCGCATTTGCGGTCGGAAATAAGTTTGATAATTTATGTCTGATTATTACACATTAAAATAATATGTATCTACTTATTTAGCTATGAATACCTATTGCCAATTAAAAACTGTTAGTTTAAATAATCTACTTAAGAACTTAAAACTGAAAGCACCAATTTTTGACATATTTAAGTTGAATTTAATCACACCTTTGGTAGCGCTTATCGAATGCTGTGGATGTGAAGAACGGATTCTCAGAAATTGTAAAAAAAATCTCAGTTGAGCTATTGATATTATATCGCCTTAACAGTTAAAAATGTTATCACGTATTATCGCGGTATATGTCAGCAATTAAATTAAATCCGGTACATGCGGTTATGTCCTTATAGAAATTCCTAAGTTACGGTCCTTGACAATAAATTGGTATGATCTGACGCATTTAATTATTCCAGAACCGTATGACTAAGAGCATTGAGCAACTGTCAGGCTTGCATGGAATTATGAATGCAATTATGACTGATATCGTGTAATCCATTATAATTAGTCTTAAAATATAATTAATTTTGGGAGTTGATACGGAATGTCTGTATCTCTTCGTACATCAGGTAATATTTAGTAATATTACTCCCAAATATCTCGCTTTCTATCAAATTCCAATATGCTTACATTATGAAAGTTTATGAAATTCTGTAGATATTATTGTGCCATTTACGATAGAAGAAATTAAATATTTTATTGTTTTACAAATAATTTCCCCAAGATCATTTATTTCATTTTCTGAATAATATTTATACTCTAGCTTTTGTTATGTACCTAAATGTTAAAAGTAAATATAGGTACATAATTAGTATCTTGTAATTTCACTATAATAAGTAACTAATTTTGAAAAAAGCTTTTGGCCACAGCCTTCAACTTTAGCTTCATCAAGTCAAAGTTATGATAAGCTTAATAGTTGATCTTTCTTACAGATAGCATAACGGAAACCAACATTCGAAATGTACTGAGCATTACAAATAAGGATATAATAATATCATACAAACTAGCCAGCACGCGTCGAGATGAATGCTGATTGTATTGTTTGCCAAAAACGGGTATTAACTACTCATTGTCCTATAAACATGGCGAACGGGAGAACATAGAACCAACTCTCTTTGAGAAACTTACACCATCAGGATAATATTATGCACATACAATAACTAAGTTACTTACAAAAGACAAATTGATGAACTTACATGCATCTTGCAAAAATTCCTAATTGATTTTGAACCCGAAAACCCATAAAAAACGCAACAAAGGCAATATTCAAAAATTTTCAGATATTTAATTACATAATATCATAACTAGTGAAAACATATCCCTATTTTTCTAGAATCGGATTAAAACACTATAAAAATATAGGAAACACAACGCCGAAATTACACTTCTGTGCTTTTACTTCACAAACATCAGTAAAAACGGATATGTATACCTATGACAAAAAACACTCACGCAAATGCAATAAATAATTCTTGTAACAAGTATAACCGTTTATTTCTTAAACAGCCAACCTTTTAGCGTGGTTACGCCCTCTCGGAGACCAATTTAAAAGCTTCATAAAGGACAAATTCAATTTGTAAGATATTTTACAGATTTCTTAAAAATTTTCGACCAAAAATGAGACAGTTATTTTGATGGTGGGGGCCAACCACCATAATATTTTTGCTTGTCTTTTATTGTACGAGATATCCGAAGATTCGTAGGTTCTACTCACGGTTATTTTATGATTCAGAGAAGAAGATAAACGCCCGTATTCATTCACAAACGATACTTGATTAAGTGAAGCAGCAAATCGAATACACAGCGTTGAATAGAGCTCTCTGATTGGTTCATGATCATGCGTCATCCAGTACATCCAAGCGCACTGTGAGACTTCATAGTAATGTTTGTGAATACGGGCAAAAGAAAGGGAAGAAACACTCACCTGGTCTGCAATCCTGGTGGGGCGTGAACCGCGGTTCCCAATCTCTTGTCTGCCCTCGAAGAAGATGATGAAGGACCAGCTTCGACTCCGTCAATCAAGGCAGCGTGGTTCACACATATAAAAGAGCACTGCACAAAATACACTTCACAATATTTCAGTTCTCAGCGTTGACTAAACAGTTCAGGCACACACACAGCGATCTGGACTTCTACAATAGAAGGTTCCAGCAAGAAGAGGCGGTGGCTCCGATGCGGCGCGACGGTGTCCGCAGTGAGCCACGTCAGTTCGTAGACTAGTGTAGAAAGCAGGGAATAATAGCGGGGTAAAATAATTAGACAGATGCGGGTAGTTGAGAAAAAATTAAAAATAAGAATACCCACATTGGCATAAGCAATAATAATANGGTGCCTACGGGCTCGCCGCTGGACACGGTGCCTACGGATACGGCGCTGGTCATGGACTCTACGGCTCCCACCTCGGATACGCCGCTTACTAGACAAATAATTTAAAAATGTACAAACTGTATAGTATGTTATGACTGACTCAGTCAAGTATGACGTTAAAGCTGTGATTTATTAAACCATTTTGGTAACTCTACCACAACTTTTTATTTCATATCTCAGTTTACAACTGTTATTTCAGATAGGTATTATTATGTTTTTAATGCATGTGTTTTAGTTTAAAAAAATCCTAACTGAAAATAAGACACGCGTGCATTTACACGCGGAATGGTGCGCAATCATGATGTTCAAAAAATCTTTGAAGTTGGTGACTATTTATTCATATTATTATAAATGAAATCATTACAGATTGTCCGAAATTAATCCTAATTTAACTAGGTACTTTCTTTGCTTTAGAAAGCACGCAAAATGTGAGTTCATCTAAACTACTTACTTGTTTCTTCTTCGTCACTCCACTTTTGACAGAGTGGTCGTTTTGGTCACAGCTGGTTTGGTGGCAAGTTTTACAAACGATCACCATTCCTTCATTACTGCTTTCTTGTACATGTCTTGTTACGGTTTTTCATTGATTGGTCCAACGCATGGTACTTACTTGGTAGTTCATTGGCACTTCTTCTTCTTGTTGTGTCGACAACAAACCTACACAGCGTCAGCGCAAAATATCGCCACAAGAATGGCGTTGTCAGTAGCCTTCGTCGACTGGGCAACAAAACCACACAAGCCTCCAAGTTTGAGCCATCCAAGAATCCCCACCAACAGATTGTCCTTACTACGCCCAACCTGCGTCCGAAGTCTATTTAAAGAATTCCAGGTAAGCCAGGGGAGCTCATGTCCTCGTACAGTGGCACTTCTTCTTCTTGTCGTGTCGACTACAAACCTACACAGCGTCAGCCCAAAACTCCGCCACAAGAGTGGCGTTGTCAGTAGCCTTCATTAAATCTTCCTGTGTGCAGTTATTTGGGCACGCAGG